GACGAACGAACGCTCGTCCACCAGCGAACGAACGCTCGGCGACCACCGAACGAACGGTCGTCTAGTGTGGAACGAACGGTCGTCCAGCGGTAAGAGGTCGAAGAGCGTTCGTTCGCTGGTGGACGAGCGTTCGTTCGCTGGTGGACGAGCGTTCGTTCGTCATCTCAGCATCTCACTCATCAATTTTTTTAACGCCGTCCAGCCAACTTAACAGAAAGGACTCAATTGATATCAATTTTCAAAATTAAGGACCATTTTGATACATGTTAGAAAACGAGGACCTATCTGAGACATTCCTACACAAATAGGGACGTCAAAAAGGATTAAACCTAAAATATATATTGGCCAAAGCCATTTGTTTATGTTAGTTTAAAATTAAAAAAATTACAATATTTGATTTAACAATATTTTTAAGATTTTATTAAACTAAACAAATATATATTCTTTTATTATGAAATATATATTTTTATTATACTAATGTCATTTTCTGAAATATGTTTTGGTATTTTAAAAAATGAAGTCCAAAGAAAACCAATCTGAAACCATACAATATTCTGGGTGGAAGATGGGTCCAAGAGAGAGAAGGGGAGAAAAAGTGAGAAACACTTGAAAAAAAAGTCGTGTGTCAGTCTACCGTTAGCCACGTCAGCACATTTTTAACAGTGTTAGTTTTCGAGGACTAAAACCAAAGTTTCGAAAAGAATGAGGACCAAATTGTACCTTATTTTGAAAGATGAACGAAAACCAGAAACGACCAATAGTTTAGGGACTAAAAACATATTTAACCCATTTTTTTTTTAATTTAAGAAAACATATTTTGTCACGTATGAGATCGTAGTTGTGTCACGTAAAAGTAATAATTAATCATAACTTGACACTTAATTGTTTATATTTTTTTAAATTAAAAAATCAATATTTTACACGTACCATGTCAATTTAAAATAAAAGATTAAATTGAATATTTTTAAAAAGATTAGAGAATTAAATTGAATTAAAAACATAATAAAAGAATCAAAATGAACCAAACTAATAAAATAAAGTACTAAATCACTAACTAAGCCTAATTTTCATTTTTGTACTAATTTGTTTTAATAATAATAGTTATACAAGTTTATGCAAGTTTTCATTTTTTTTCCAACGGACAAACTTATCTCTTAGGCCTGACCCTTTTTACCATTCATAATTTTATATATGATTTAAGGTAAACTAAATATTAAAGAGTAATAGTTGTATTTACTAACTAAATAATCGTATCAAACCTAAGATCATTGATTGTAGAAAAATGAATGTATTGAGGTTTCTTTTTAGAGACTAAGTTACAAACCACTAAAACAACTTTTGTTTCGTATTGAAAATTTATTTTATAGTTATGTGTGATAGTTCTATAAGAATCACCACTATCAGAAACACTGAATCTTTGGATAGAGTAAACTTTGTTCTTACTAATATTGAAATATGTGTCTAATAATGGAGGCATGAATTAAAACACCCTATAGTCACATTTTTAGATATTGAAAGTTAAAACAATATTGAAGAGTAAATATTTTGTGAACACTTTGTATTGCACTATACCTCTTTATCCTATAGTACAATCTTCATTGAAAATGGAGGTTTGCTTTTAGTATAATCTTTAACAAACCATAACATCATCACTCGAGTAATGGTATTCTAATTTTCCCTCTCAAGATTCAGTTCTACTGTGGAGTGACATTGTTTTTCACAATAAATATAATGAAT